GGGCGTGGAAGTGGGGATGGCGGGGGGACACTTCCTTGCAGATTGAGTAGAAGCTGTAGCAATTCTGACTGGAGCACCAGGTGTAAAGTAGGCGCGAGGGGAGGGGCAGGAGGAGGAGGAGGAGGATTGCGTTTCAACATTAAGGCTTGTTTTTTGTAAAAGGCCGAAAAAATATTTTTGCCCTTTTCAACTTCTAAATACAAACGAAAGTCAAAACATTTATCACAGAAATTTCGTCCGCGTAATTGTTTCTTTTTCGATTGCAACTGAACTTTTTTTTGTTGCATCAGATAGGTGTTCTTTGGTTTGTATTCGATGAAAAGCAAAACTGTACATAGATGCTTTAAGGCTAATCAGATGATTTTGCAGTATTTTTTTCAGCCACAACCAGCAACAACATTCCCAATCAACATCATGCAACCATCAGTCAGAGTCATAGTCGGAACCCCCACCCCCATTCTTATTCCTTCAGACCTCTACCGCTTAAAAACAATAACAACAACAGCACTAGCCAACCAGGAGGGGGGCTGGGGCTGGTGGCGAACGGAAGTGTCACCACTTGAACAGCCACGGCCACATCCGGACACCCTCATCCTCATCTTCCTCCTAATCAACACCACCATCAGTATCCAAACAACACTCCGGGTCCGTACATGGACTTGATACTTTTCTATTACTGATTATCCAACATAAACACAACTGCTGGACACAACAGTTGGACAACTGTCTTAAACTTTCTAACATACTTCACAGTAAATGTTTGAAGCTGAACACTGTAATTTATTTTATCGTGGGGCAAGTTCTCGAAGACGCAGGCTACATCAGCAGCCAGTAGGGGATATTGTGGCCACAGATGCATGCTCCAGAAGACAACCATCACCCCCACCTCATCCAAGCAGCCAAGTGCATAAGTCCCCACTGCCCCTCAAACAGTTCTCACAGCTGGGGAAGAAGGGGACCGAGGAGCAGGAGAAGCAATTTGAGCAGGAGCACGAGGAAGGGGGGCATCCAGCAGGGCCCCACTGCCACTCCCAAACACATGCACTTCTGCTCGGACGAGGACGAAGAGGGGAGATGGAGTGGAAGGGGGAGGGGGATGTGAGCAACAGGGGGGTATCAATCTTTAGCTCAAACCCCCATCCATTGCTTCCGCACAACGCAAGTCGTGCAGTAGTTCACGCATGTGCGATCATCTAGCCCATTCCAGAGACACACTTGAGAGCACAATAGAAAGGAAATAGCCGTAAATGAAATTGTTACTTTTGACCGGGTGTCAGGATTCCAAAATGATCAAACCCATCTGACGATGACACATGTTTCAAACATCTGCTAACGGATCAAAAAACACTGCTAACGGATCAAAAAAACCAACAATATACAACAAAGTAGTATAGCCAAAAACGAAGTGTGAATACTTTTCAGCAGAGCGATGAAAAAATAACTGGTAAGACGTGTTCCGCAGTACACAAACAGACTTCGAGATCAATCTGTTCATGAAATAAAAGTGAAGTATCGTCGAACATCGTAAGCGAAAGCGTTTGGACTACTCTAAAAGGTTAAACGTCTCCGTGTACATCACACATATTCTTACTTCTAGACTGCTCAGTTTCTCGAAACTTATTTGTTGTCATATAATACTTCTAGTACCATTTTAGTATTCTAAATTTGATTGAACTATAGCTCACAATGCCTTTTCATAACTTTACAATTGAAAAGAAAGTAAAACAATTAACTTTCAGTTCAAGGTTACATTAAAGTGTAAAAGTTTCGTAAAACTTAACAAAAAGGACAAAAAGTCTACAAAAAGGTTTGCCTCAATCTTTGGGTGTGCAGAAATCGCTTTGATCTATCCTTCTGTCATTTCTCAAACGAATCTACCTCATCACAGTCGGATTTTAATTGTAAAATTTTTTTAAAATTTTTTAATAGGAAATGGCATCGCCACGATGATTTTAAGCACTGATGAAGAAAATTAATTATAAGCCTCTCAGAATTCACTTAGCAACAGAACAAACACTCTGAACTGTTCAATTGGTTGTTGTTCGGGTGTTTTTTAAAATTCTTCTTTTTGTTTTCCACGCAAAATCAGGTAGCAGAAATATTCATCGGACTGGGTTGGGTGATATATCAAAATAAAGCCCTTCTAGCCGTGATTCAGACCACTTTAAAAAAAATAAATGTCGAGAAAAATTGGTTTGAAATTGAAATTTTTCTTCCTAATTCGAGCGAATAAAGCAAGCGAGCAGGCATACAACAGCTGATTCATACCTATTATCCTTTAAGACCTTAAAATTTTGTTGTTTTAAGTTTTTCAAACTAGTTTTTTGGTGTTTTTAGCTGCTTTTTGCTTAAAAAGTCAATACCCAAAAATTTCAAAAAGTCATAAGTTAATGACAAAAAACTTTCTAGTTTTTCTACGAAAAAAATTGTCTTCATTACCATGACTTCCTAGTAAGCCTTAATTATACTTTTAAATCAGATAAACTAACAAGTTTTACTCTTAAGCTAGTATCCTGCGTTGACCTCCAAACACGTCCAGAAAAAATGAATATTAAAAAACTTCCATTATGAAAGTTGTAAAAAAGCAATTTTTTTTACTGGTAGTTTTTCTTTTTAGTCGCAAAACAAACATGTTCAAAAACACTTTTTCGAAAAAAAATGTGTACATGCAAAAATTTGTAATTTTTTGTCTATAAAGAAGTCAAGGATGAGTTTTTCATTTAATTGAAACCTTAATGAAAATGATTTTTGAGCAAAATCAAACTTGAAACTTTCAAAGCTTTTCTTTCAAAGATTTCTGACCGGGTAAAAACTTTCTCCTCTATATGAACGTAACAGCTTTTATTTATGAAACACTATCTCATAAAAATTAGCTAAAATTGCTGAAATTTCGTACAGTCTCAACCCACAATTTTTTCTTTCGGAAAATATTTTGCTAATTAGTTTTTTGTTTTGTTCTTAAATAAAAAAATCGTAACTTTTGTTTGTGGAAAAAATAATAGTCATGCAATTTCCATATTTAGAAAATTTTTTATCACAGTGGTTTCAGATATTTGCTGTAGGTTTAGATTCATATGGGTTTATATAAAGTTTTCTCGAAAACAGAAATTATGATTAGCACTCTAACCAAAAATTACCAATTAGCATTTATTCAACTAATCTGTCCATGATCATCTTTGAGTTTATTTGGCAAATTTCTGTAATCAAATATTTGTTTTGGTAGTTTTTAAAAAAAATTTTTTCGGCTAATCAGCTGACTACCAAACCTTCAAGCTCGCAGCATATAAATTTATAGGTCATTTTTGCCAAACATGTTCAAAAATTGCTTAATTACTCCAAACTCGAGGGATACTGTTTTCAACTACTATTTTAGTCGCTCGACTAGTTTTATAATCAAATCACCAGCTTACTAAAAAAGTTTTTGCTTGCAATTTTTGTAAGTTTGCGACTATAATGTAGTGAAGGCACAGTTTTTTCACACGGAAGGAATAAGGTTTCATATGGTGTAAGAATCTGTTTGTTGTTTTTCTGTTAAAGGTCGCGTGCAATTCATACAATTAATGGTTATGATTTTTTGATGTTTTCCAATACGTAGTTTAATCTGCAATTTTGAAGCCAATGTATTGGTTTTCCCAACAGTAATTTGGGTTAAATTACTGGTTTTTCATCAGGAAAAATCTCAAATTTGGAAAAAAACACAAAAAAATGTTTCAATATTTTGGGAAAATTCTTGTTGTACTATTTAACAAAAGGTAAAAAAAGTAGTAGGCGTGCTATTTTTTTCCACAAATATTTTGTTGTATGGATTATCATGTAATTGTATGACGTATGACAAGCGCTTTTTCTATAATTAAAAGTCGTATGAATAGTTTTTTTCTCAACTTGGGTGTTTTGTTAAGTCTTACTTCCACCAGTGAAGTTTGTCTCTGAATTATTTGTTTCCAATACTTTGCTGATAATTTAGTCAAAAAGCAAGGAAGATAAGCGACACGCTTCAAAAAAAAAACTTTGTTAATAGGATCGAGAACTAGCTAACAATTTTCCTTGTTCAAACTAGGACGGACTCTTGAAATCTATAATACGCAGTTGTCATTACGAGGCCAACTTGTGCATTTTGTGCATTGTACGCGGATACCGCAACAAGGACGCTCCCTTTGTTCTTCTTTTATTCTTTAATTTCCTTTGATCGTTCCGGCAAAAAATAACATGTTTAAAGACTTGTCTCTGGAATCCAGGAACATAGAGACACAAAATTGTACGCCTATCCAGTGCACAGTATGGTCTTGTAATAATGGAGCTCTGAAACTCCATATTGTGGTTTTTATACAAAACTTGACCCTTTGATGAGATTTTTGTTGACTACTCTTGCTAAAAGAACAACATTGCAATAATGTTGTTGACTACTCTTGCTAAAAGAACAACTTTGTTAATAATAGTGTTTTCTTTTTGTAGATAACGGCTGTATACAGTCATTTTGTTCCAAACTAAACGCTGAGCAAAACTTTTCGCGGAAAACATGTTTGAAAAATTCGAGTTTTACAAAAATTTATGCAAATAAGACGAAAACTGTTAAGGTTAGAACCGCTTTTGTTGGAACTTTCAATACAAAATATCCCCAATTTTTTTGCTGAGAGAAATCATTCGCTTAGATTCGACCAGTTCTTCTTACAAGTTTTTTCATCTTAAAATCATGTCGTTTTAATGTCAGATCGCCTTAATGCCTTGTCATCTTTTTTACTTAGCACCATGACTAGTTTAACCATTTTAAATTTTCACAAAAATCTGATTTTATGAAGTTTGATTTTTCTTCAGCAATTTTGTATGCACTTGTGTGTTTTCAAATTTGCTAATGCATATGCAAAGAGTTGTAAGTAGAACGCATACATATTTTTTCTGGCTGAATACTTCATAAAAAGCACTCTGCTCACAAAACACGAACACTGTTGCCAAAAATTAGCAATCATATTCTTTGCTTACCAAATTTTTGCACGCATTTTTAATCATATTTTTTTCAAAGTAACAATCATATTCTTAGCTTACCATAATTTTGTACACATTTCCACTGACTATTGCTATTAAATCAAAAGCGCCTTTTTCTGGCGTATTTATTAAACTGCGTCGTTTTGGTAAACAAGGTTTTGATGCCGAGAAACTGCAATTCAATCGTCTAAGGCCCTTGTTTTATGATTGTTTTTTCTGGCGTTGACCTTTCTAGACCTCTGAAGTTTTCTCAATTTTGATGCGCTTTCTGACTTGATATATCTCACTTTGGGGAGAAACAACTGTTGATTGTTTTGAGAATATATTCAATATGCGTAAAGTGAGCGTACACTCTGAAATAAGTTGAGGTAATTTACCTTAAAATGTACTTTAATTTACCATCGATAACTTCAGGTACTTTTTAAGGTAAATTACCTCAACTTATTTTTGAGTGTTTTTACTATTTACCCAGTTTACTCATACTATCTTTACTCTTGAATAAATTTTTCAAAACAATCGACACTTGTCGACACTTGTCGACACTTGCTCTCCCCAAACTGAGATATATCAAATCAGAAAGCGGGTCAAAATCGAGAAAAGAGAAGTAACGAGAAGTGGAGGAGAGAGCGGCCGAAGGGGACGAGAATTTGAGACAGCAGCAGAGTGTGGCAGCTGCAAACGCACTGCAGATCCGAAACAGATAGAGGGGAAATGGCCAACCAAGGTATAAACAGATAAGTCTTTGGTTAAATTCATTATTCATGTCGTTCTACCCAATTAGATTACAAGCAACTTGAGCTCACCTTAATGTGGCATGAAAGTTTATAAATCAGTTCTGTCATCGGCACGGATTCATGCTGAAGATTTTTTCGTGAATTCTATGCTCTTCATTTATCAGTTCTAGTTTTCAACCATTTATTTCAATTATTGTCATGAGGATGAGGTTATAGGATGAAACTTTGCTTAAAGAAAAAAGAACAGCTTTAAAGAGAACCATTTTTGATTGAATAAAATTTAACCAGATTGAATAAGATACCAAATGATCAAAGAAGAAAAATCAGTTTCCAATATGAGTAACCATTGAAACTGGATTGTAATGAGCGGAAGTTTATGTGGAAAATTGGTGCTGTTTCAGCTCAGTGGAAGACGACTGCAGAGTTCAGAATGCGATTATCACAAGGGAAGGGCACAAGGCATACAGCAGCGGTGATCAGAGACGTCTTAATGGATACATACCCTGAGAGCAGTTGGTTCATCACTGTTTCTGCAAATAGCGGTTTGTTTACCGGTGACTTTAGTGTCAAGTGTAAAGATGGAGTTGGTGAGACAGCAGAGTGGATGAACAAGACAGAGTACCCCTACAACATGCACATCTACACTGTCCCACACTCAGACTACAACAGACGAGAAGCAACTGATGAGGAGAGGGCGAAGATAGAGATTGTGAGTAAGAGTGTGTTGTTTGATATGGAGAGTACATGGAGAGAGGTTCTGGGATTTGGGGGTATGACAACACAGAAGATGAGGGATGAGGTCATCGCCCGTCTGGACAGAAATGGACTCAAGTGGATGTATGTTGGAGTGGGGAAAGGAGATAGATGTTGGTCTGCTTCTTGTATTCAGAGTCGCCGTGTTCTTACAGATGGCTACATTTACGATATTTGCATCTACCTAGGAGACTAAACCTACACCGCCACTGGACTTCAACCTTATTCCAAGTGATACACTAGTACACACTCCATTCTACCATCAATCTTCACTCCTTTCACGCATCTACCTCTACTCGAGTGCTATGTATTTTCCTGATATGATTCCACTTTATATCTACTCTAGTTTGACTAATGACTTATCTAATTAATCTAACTGGTCTTTTTTGTCTGACCCTCACACTTTCATTCTCTACGGCGGAGAGGCAGAGAAAATTTGTCACTTCTTAATGTTCTAACTTTAGATTAAATCATTTTTATCCTTTCATTCTTTTAACTGTATAAAGTAAAATTAGCTGCAACAAAGTAACAATTTATCATTTTCCTTATTGTTTTTCATTTAGTTGTACTAGATCAGAACAGAACATGATTATTTCTCATTTACGTATCACCATCAGCTTAACCTACCTAGACATTATACAAAAACGCACTTTTCATCTGATATGTTTCCGTCTCTTGCCGAAAACCTTACCGTTGTTCACCAATTAGGCATTCAATTTTTCAGTTTTTCGTCTGATTGTCCAAACGACAACAAATTGATCAAATGAAATAGCACATTTTCATTATTGCAGTGACGCGGGTTGACCTTCATAAACCAAAAAAAATTTATCATACAATTCCATACATCAAGTGTGTGGAAAAATACTTGTCATACATTTTCATACAATTTCGAAAAGTGGTTGAAAAAAGATATAAACTAATTTCTGTGGCTGTTTGCTTCTAAAAGAACAACGTGGTCAAAAAAACCGGGTTTTTGCTTTTTGAAAAAAGTTTATCATACAATTCCCAAATATAGAAATTCTATGCCTAGCATTTTTTTGATGGCGACACAAAAACTTTTTCCAAGTAATTTTGAAATTGCCCCAATTTTTTTTGTTTTTTCAACCGCAAATTGAATTTTGTACGAAAACCAACCTTTTTCAAAAACATTTTTGCGATCAGAACTTTTTTTTGGGTGCATAACGTAGTCCTGGATACAAAAATATTGGATTTTTTCCCTTCTCGCTTAATAATTTTTTTTCTCAAAATTGCTGAAAACTCTTGTTTTCTTTTGTATGTCGTGTTCATGTATTCTTTGATCAGTGCCTGATAACCATCGTTGGAAAATGTTGCCAAAATTTAAAAGCTTGTTATATTGGTTATATGATTTGTGAAAGACAACTCTAGGGCAATTCAGATTGTTTTCTATGCACTGGAGTAATATATGATTTAGGCGATCATGTGGGGGGGTGTTTGCTGACCCCCATGTATTAAGATAGGCTATATAGTATCCGGTCAGCAACCTATGTATTAAGATAGGGAGTAGATTTCACTATGTATTAAGATAGGGATTAAGTTTCCTGTGTGTTAAGATAGTAAGGTTTGAGATGGTAAGTTTCAGAAAAATTTTCGTTCGGCGCCCGAAACTTTTGGGGCACGATTTTCCCGATACTTGCATTTCTTAGCTAACTCCTACAATTTGGTTTCTTTGATTATTGTTTTATACGTTTGAAACTATGAGAAAATTTTCTTAAGCTATACTAGATCCTACTGAAACTTCAAAAAAAAATCAAGATTTGGGAAAAAAATGCAAAAAAATGAATTTTTGTAAAAAAACTGCAAACATTTTTTGAAAAAATTGCAGAACTCTCAGGTTTTGCTTAATTTTTTTGTCGCATCTGATCTAGTTGTAAGATATACATACGTGCAAAGCTTAAAATATGCCCAAAATGTATTTTAATTGGAATTATGTTGAGACAATGATACAAAAACTTGATTAAAAAAGCTCATAATAGAAGAATTAATATTGAAACTTCAGAAAAATAGTGAAATTAATCGTATTTTTCGGGAAAGTGAAGTAATAATTATTCAAATCTATCCAAATGTTTCCATTTTCAACCTTTTATTTGTGTAATTAGTTTGTTATTGTGTTCATTTCAGAGAGAATTTAATTAGGAATCTCAAATCAATGGAACAAAAAGAGCAATAGTTATTGAAATTTCTGGATCAAACTCCATGATTCAACTCCTCAGTTTTTTTCTCAATGAGTAACCCAAATTTGTACAAAAATAAAAAATGTTGAGAGGATCAAAGGGAAAGGGCACAGAGGAAACAGCACAGGAGATCAGAGAAGTCTTAAAGAATACAGACCCTGGGAGAATTGGGCTCATCACTGTTTTTACAAATAGCAGTTTGGTTACCTTTGACTTTAGTGTCAAGTGTAAAGATGGAGTTGGTGAGACAGCAGAGTGGATGAAAAAGACAGAGTACCCCTACAACATGCACTTCTACACTCTCGGCACGTCAGACTACAACAGTCACATAGACGCAACTGATGAGGAGAGGGTGAAGGCAGAGAGTGTGAGTAAGAGTGTGTTGTTTGACACGGAGAGTGCATGGAGAGATGTTGGGATTTGGGGTTATGACGTCGCAGAAGGTGAGGGATAAAGACATCGCCCGTCTGGACAGAAATGGACTCAAAAGGATGTGTGTTAGAGTGGGGAAATCAGATGGATATTGCGCTGATAATTGTATTCTGAGTCGCCGTATTCGTACAGGTGGCTTCCTCTAATATATTTGCATCTACCTAGGAGACTAAACCTATACCGCCACTGGACTTTAACCTCATTCCATTGGATACTCTAGCACACACTCCACTCTACCAACAATCGTCACTCCTTCCACGCATCTGCCACTACTCGAGTGCTATGTTATATTCTCTACAGTTTTTTATTTAGTTGTCCTAGATCAGAACAGATCATGATTATCTCTCATTTGCATATGGCCATCAGATGAACCTAAAAAATAGTGGATATCTTTTTTCGAAATTGTATGAAAATTGTATGATAAGCATTTTTCAGAACACTTGATGTATGTAATTGTATTATAAGTGTTTTCGGTGTATGGAGGTCAATCCGGAGGTCAATCGTTTGGTCAATTTGATGTAATTTGGACAATCAGACGAAATAGAATTGAATGCGGTTCCTCGGCTGTAAAGTACGCTTAACTAGTGAACAAAAGCCAGGTTTTCGGTAAAAGGCTACAACTACGCACTTTTCATCTGTTATATTTCCGTCTCTTACTGAAAACCTTGCTTTGTTCACCAGTTAAGCGCAGTTCACAGTCGAGGAATTGCATTCAATTCTATTTCATCTGATTGTCCAAATGACATCAAATGGATCAACCTGAAATAACATATTTTCATTATTGCAGTGAGCTAAGCTACAGGTGACATGATACATAATCATTTGAACTTTCCTACATCGTACCTTTGAGTTATCCCACAGACCTACATTTCTGAAAAATGTTTCAAAATTTAATCTAAACAGAACTAAAGTTGACTTTTAGTTTAAAAATAGCAAACTTACTACTCTCAAAAATGTTCGAATTTCATAATAATGTCATAGAAAGAACAATTATATGGCGTGAATCCATTTTTTTTTCTGTAAAAGATTGGGGTAGGGTGCGGAAGATGAAGGGTTGTGGGGGTTTAAATATCATTACGTCCTCTCCCTTGTAGAAAACACAGTGTGATTTTGATTTTAGGTCGACCAATTCTCTGATCGGCTCATATTTAGTTTTCAAAACAAAATCAACCTATAGCAATTCTTTAAATAAAAGCTTTTGTAGCCAATTGAACATCATTAATATTAACGCCCTTCATTGTGTTCAGAGTTATATTTTGACGCAGTCGAGTATATCACACTAACTGGTTTGTAAATTTCGTTCATGTCTTGTTAGACTCCATTTTCTTATCGAATGTTGATTTAATGAGCAGCTTTTAGAAGCTATAATGAAAATTATTCAATAGAGAATTTTTGGTGGAGGTTGTTGAGTTCAACCAATTGTGTCATCCAGTTACTCTGGCTGAGTTGAAGAACTTTTGCGATGTGAGCTCTCATCCTTCCGAACATTTGGTTCAGTTTAGAAATTAATGGCCAAAACATAACTTTCATTAGTTTGCAAAGTCGGAAGAAACTTTGTCACTTCAAGCAGCGTGATGATTCCCACATTTCGCATGATGTTAACCTTCTCTTTGCTCCTTGAAGTAAGTTCCTTTACTTTAGGAGAGGAATCAAAAGGGTAGTCAATGAAAATGTGAGAATATTTTCACAGTGGCCGTATTCGCTTCTGGTAACAATTATTTCCTCTCATACCAAACTTGCCCACATAGCCTGCAGTGATGACAAGTTTATTCAAAATTTTTTTTAACGAATTGAAACATGTGCAGAGATAGTGTCTCCTTCGGTTAATCATGCTGATTTTTTCAGTTAGTGACCCAGTTGTTTTCAATCACAACTCTCCATCAGAAAAAAAATTCCGTTTGTAAGTTTTAACATTTTTGCCAGCGATGCATGCATGGGTTTGCACGAATTGATGATATAAAAAGTTTGAAACACTTTTTTTGTTTTTCTGTTTATGTCTGGGTACGTTTTTGTATATAATGAATTGTCAAAGATATCTACAAGTATTTTGTTTTGAGTAATTTTGTTTTGAAAAACTTTTTTGCTTTTCAAAATATGTAACGACACACATCTTCTATTGATTTACAGTAAAGGCTCTTTAGGATTGTAGGTCTGATTTACAAAATTTCAAAGTAGCGTCTCTAAAAAAATTGCTTCGTCGCGAAGTAACAAGTGCAATCCATCATCTCATGCGTATGAAGCAAATTCCACAGAAGACTTCATAGTCAGACGCAAACAATGAATCATCGACTCCAGTACAAATCGTGGTAATCAACAAGTGAACCTCCCTTCAGCGCAGTGAATAATTTTAAAGTGAAATTATTCGCTTCTGGTAAAAAGTATTTCCCCTCCTGTCAGACTTTCCGACATTGCCTGTCGCGGAGTCGAGTTACAGTAGCTCAGTTTTTCAAATCTGTTGATATTCATCTGATGTTCTTTTCGAATTCCTTTTTAGTTTACAGTTCCTTCTTTGGTTGTTATTTAAACGTTTGTTTTTACGCTCATTCACCTTCTGATTTATATCATTTAGGCATCATAAAAACGTTTTTTTTTTCTTTTTAATTTTGATCTTTCCGAGCAGATGTCGATGGAGGCTGAATGGCGAAGCTCTTTTACGGAGAAGCTTTTCACGGCGAAGCTGTTTACGGCGAAACTCTTTTTCAGTTTTTTGATCCGCTGCCATGAGCAGAGCAAAAAAAAGACTGATAGTGTGTTCCGTTAGCTTCCTGCAGCTCTCTCGAATCATAGAGTCAACGACTTCGTGCTGAAAAAAAATCTTGTTATT